GATTGGTCGTATGCAGATGAGTGTAGGCCAGGATTTGAAAGGGCCACTGAGCCAGAATGGCAGTTGGGGGGAAGAGAGCTGAACATTCCAAAGAGGCGGAGTTAAGTTTAAAAATAGGCAGTGAGAGAGTCAGAAAAGTTGATTTAGGGATTCCTGTTTGTGAAGGACAGTTAGGAACTTCTGTGAGAGAAAAGCAGTTAGGAAAATGGAGCTTAAGTTTTAAGGAAAATAAAGAAGTGCCAGTGTGGTTTAAGGCAGAATATAGTTCTGTCAAGAGTGTATGAAAAAGTAACATATTTGTTGATGTAAAACAGTTGAAGTTTGATAAAAAAGGTTAACTAAGTGAATGATATTGAATGTAAGACTCAAGACTGTAACAGAACACACAAATGTAACCATAAGCGTTGGAGCCAGAAGCTATAAATAAACTGTGTTACTTGGTTTACTACAAGAGTATCTCAAGCCTGTAATATAAAAGCCTCAAGGTAAAAGCTCACAAGAAAGCCCCAGCCAATTTAAAAAGGGAAAAATACATCAATACAAGGCAGTAAAAAGATTGAAAAGAAAATATCCCCCCCCCCCCACATCGTCACACATAAAAAGACACCTGAAAAAGGACTGAAGTAGTGAAATATCGTCACACCTTCCATGAATAATAAATGCTGGAATTCTGGGGGTTGTAGTTTGGTGAGGTCTCTGGCTGAGAATTCAAAATACCTTTTCCTAAACTGCAAACCCCAAGATTCCACAGGAATTCAAGTGGAATAATAGCCCTGCAACACTGCAATATAATGTGATGAGTAAACTTCCTGAGGGAAATAATTGGAGAATAAGGATTGATGTTGTTTTAACTGAAAAAGAAACCAGAAGTAGCTGAAGAAACTATTCAAAAACAAAATTATTAACAAATAAAGTATATCAGTACAACATTGTTTTCTTATGACATTCACTGAAGCGAAGCTCGGATACTATTAAAAGGCTGTCTATGCTAAGCAAAGTGAGCGTTCTGCTTTTTGCAGCACAGGACTGAAACAAATAAGCAGTATTCCTGCAAGAAAGACAACGTTACTCATTACACTTACAGCAATGCGTGAGAGAGATTGCCTTTGTGCCTTGTATTTCATTATCAGCCGAGCTATCTGAATCAATGTTCCTTCCCCATAAAAGTAATACCAATCTTGGCACATGGCTAAGAAATGAGCTTTATAATAACCAGTGGCATGAGATGGCCACTTACACTCTCATGACACAAGCTATTAAACAGGAAGCCAACAACCTATAAGGACACAGTCAAAGATGACCTCGACTTTTGCTACCTTGTTAAAGGTATCTGTGCAGGGACATTGGGGACTTTGCTTACCAATTAAGTCCAATGGGTCCTCAGATTCAGATCCAAGAGATCTTCAAGTTACAGATCCACCATCAAGGTGATCTATAAAGTTGATGGGAGGGCCACCCTGCCTAAACCCCTGCGAGAAATCCACCACTAAAGCAGGCTGAGAAGTGGCCATCTAATCTCTGTTCAAAAAGAATCTACACATAACAGATGTTCATGTATTCTATTAGCCCAATAATATAATGCTAAATAAGTGGACTCAGATGAGATCTCTATTAATTTTCTTGAAAAGAAAAATCACCCATTGCAATTTTCCCATTTGCCAAAGAGGGGCTACAAACTAACATTTGTAAGGGCAAGTCTACAGTAGTTACGATGTCCCCTATAGCTCTAAATGTGCTATAGATAGAAGGACATGTTGATTAATTTTTAATTTTTGTATGTATGTATTTTATCTTTTACAGTTTAGCTGTAAATTGCCTAGAGCATTCTCGTATGGAGGGCGATTAATAAGTAATTAAATGATGATGATGATGATGATGAATTAAATTAAGCTGAAGGAATCTCACTGAACACCTACTCAGGTCTCCAAATATTCTCCTACAACCGTTTTGATTCCCTTGTGATTTTATGTAATGGGTTAAATGGACGAACCCAGAGGGTGCTCACGAATGCTTCCTCTTCATCTTGGAAAGAAGTGACGAGTGGAGTGACGCAGGGTTCTGTCCTGGGCCCGGTCATGTTCAACATCTTTATTAATGACTTAGATGAAGGGCTAGAAGGCAGGATCATCAAGTTTGTAGGCGACACCAAATTGGGAGGGATAGCCAATACTCCAAAGGACAGGAGCAGGATTTTCCAACTCTTTAATTCTATGAAACATGTTCAAGATTTGATTTGAGTTGAGGGAGAATGAGACAGATGAAACTGAGAGAAAAGGAGACAGTTTGAAGAGGGCCAAAACTATGCGAGTTTTGGCTTAATTATTTGAGAAATTGGTTCATCCCTGCCTTACTGACCTTGACATCTCAAACTACATTGTTAAAGCCAATCTCTTCCTACGCAGCCAGTTGGAAAGTGGAACTCTGCGGCACATAATATTAATAACAATTATAATAATATTTTTCAGCTCCTTAATGCACTGTTCACTGAGATAACTTCCCCCTCCTGGCCACCCTCAAGCAACAGTTCAATTGTCAATAGCAGAGGCTGACAGATCATTCTTTTCAATAGTTCCTAGTGGAACACTTAGTTTAAGCACAAAGGACCTCTTGCATGCCGTCAGCATGGGATGAGCCCCGCTACAGACTGGTGCTGCTTTTCAGATGGCAGTGAGCCAGCCCTGACAATCATTGTTTTGTGTTGTCGAATTGCCTCGAGAGGCTGACAAAGTTGACACCCTGGGGCAACCATAAAAAAAGATCAGACACTTTTTCTGGACAATTAGTTACTGAAATCCAGTCTAAATCGCTGTTGTGACTTACTGACTTTTGTGTGCAAATGTGTTTAGCCCACTCACCCTCTAATGATTTTCGGGTTGCTTTTGTGACATTATTCTCACAAGAACCCTTGAACTTTACGAATGTGTGGGGATCTGAGCTGAGTTTTTCTGTTCTTTACTTGCCTATGAGCTTTCTGACTTAAAACTGCCGAGGTTGTTTCCTACATGATGAAGAACTTGTCTTTGTAAAAAGACAGCTGCCAATACACTTTGCTCTTTCCTTTATTGCTCACAGCTTTCAAATAGCTTTATCAGAGTGCTTCACTCCACTCCACACCAAACTGAAGGCTCATCTTTCTTATTGTGTGTGTGTGTGTCTGAGCGAGAGAGCGAGATTAATAAATGGTCACTGATCAGTAATGGATGGAGTAATAAAAGGGTTGCGCGAAAGTGAGTGAGCAAGGAAGCTGATGAATCTAGAGCAGTGTATTGTCGAAGGCTTTCATGGCCGGAATCACTGGGTTGTTGTAGGTTTTTCCGGGCTATATCATCATCATCATCATCATCGTCATCATCATTTAATAACTTATTAATCGCCCTCCATCCGAGAATACTCTAGGCGATTTACAGCTAAATTATAAAAGATAAAATACATGCATACAAAAATTAAAAATTAACAGAGATTGAATGCTCTAGTAAAAAGCCAGGTCTTAAGTGCTAGAGTAAAAGGCCCTAAGTCACACATGGCTCTCATGTAGGGCGGCAAGGAATTCCACAAGGCAGGGGCAGAAATAGAAAAAGCCCTGCGTCTGGTCCTTTCCAAGTGCACTTCTCTAGGACCCGGTATATGGAGTAAGTCACGTTGGCCATGTTCTAGAGGCATTTTCTCCTGACGTTTCGCCTGCATCTATGGCAAGCATCCTCAGAGGAAGTGAGGTCTGTTGGAAGTAGGAAAATGGGTTTAAATATCTGTGGCCTTGTCTGTGTTTGCGAGTTCTTTGCGGATGGTGTGAAGGAGAAACATCAGGTGAAAATGCCTCTAGAACATGGCCATATAGCCCGGAAAAACCAACAACAACCCAATCTAGAGTGTTTCTCAACCTGGGGGTCGGGACCCTTGAGGGGGTTGCAAAGGGGTGTCAGAGGGGTTGCCAAAGACCATCAGAAAACACAGTATTTTCATGGGGTCATGGGGATTCCATGTGGGAAGTTTGAGCCAATTCTATCATTGGTGGAGTTCAGAATGTTCTTTGTGTTGTTGTTCATTCGTTCAGTCGTCTCCGACTCTTCGTGACCTCATGGACCAGCCCACGCCAGAGCTCCCTGTCGGCCGTCACCACCCCCAGCTCCTTCAAGGTCAGTCCAGTCACTTCAAAGATGCCATCCATCCATCTTGCCCTTGGTCGGCCCCTCTTCCTTTTGCCTTCCACTTTCCCCAGCATAATTGTCTTCTCTAGGCTTTGCTGTCTCCTCATGATGTGGCCAAAGTACTTCAACTTTGTCTCTAGTATCCTTCCCTCCAGTGAGCAGTCGGGCTTTATTTCCTGGAGGATGGACTGGTTGGATCTTCTCACAGTTGGATCTTCTCTTTGATTGTAATGAACTATAAATCCCAGCAACTACAACTCCCAAAAGTCAAGGTCTATTTTTCCCAGGCTCCACCAGTGTTCACATTTGCACTTATTGAGTATTTGTGCCAAGTTTGGTCCAGTCCACCATTGCGTGAGTCCACAGTGCTCTCTGGATATAGGTGAACTACAACTCCCAAACTCAAGGTCAATACCCACCAAACCCTTCCAGTGTTTTCCGTTGGTCATGGGAGTTCTGTGTGGCAAATTAGGTTCAAATCCATCGCTGGTGGAGTTCAGAATGCTCTTTGATTATAGGTGAACTATAAATCCCAGCAATTACAACTCCCAAATTACAAAATCAATCCTCCCCCAACCCCACTAGCATTTACATGTAGGTGCATTGGGTATTTGTGCTCGGTTTGGTCCAGTGAATGAAAATACATCTTACATATCTGATATTTACATTATGATTTATAACAGTAGTAAAATGACTGTTATGAAGTAGCAACAAAAACAATGTTATGGTTGGGGGTCACCACAACATGAGGGACTGTATTAAGGGGTCGTGGCATTAGGAAGGTTGAGAACCACTGATCTAGAGTTTTGTTCCATTTTTGTTGTTTTCCTTGTATTCCTTAACTTTGTGATCCACTCCTTTTGAATACATGATTCTGGCAACCATCATTGCGAACTGCATCGTTCTGGCCCTGGAACAGCATCTCCCCGAGGATGATAAGACGCCTATGTCTCGGCGATTAGTAAGTTGAATTTAGTTGATTCCCTTCACTTCTTTTTTTTTCTCTTTACCTGGATATTGGATGCTGTTTGAGTTCTCAGTATCAAAGCCAGATGTACCAATGGTGAATCTGATGGCTATAAAAAAAAGCCAACATTTTATTTATTTTATTTTATTTACAGTATTTATATTCCACACTTCTCACCCCGCAGTGGACTCAGGGCAGATTACAATGTACAAGGGTTATTTTTTAAGTAAGATCCGTTTTTTAAGTACACAATGAAAGTTTATTTCAAAAAAGTAAATTTATTTTCAGAAAGTACATACTTCACTCTATTTTTTGACATAGTTGCCAAGTTTGTTCAAACACTTATCATACCTCTGAACCAATTTTAAAATACCCTCTTCATAAAAACTTGCCGCCTGCTCCGATAACCAAGAGTTCACTGTAATCAAAGAAGGGCGACTGGAGCGGTCCTCATCATGGACCTTGTAACAGCCATCTTTGAACTGTTGTACCCACTTACGCACTTTGCTTTCACTCATAACAGTATCACCGTACACTTCACAAATCTGTCGATGAATTTCTGCAGCAGGCAGGTTCCTTGCTGACAAAAACCGTATCACTGAGCAAACCTCACATGCGGCGGGTGAGTTGATAGTCTTAAACATTTTTAAAGCACAGAACAAAACCGTACAGGTTAGCTACAGAGCGGAAACTGAGCACAGTTGTTCCCGAGGCATGCTGGTACACGACGCATGCGCTCATTGCGGTATGCACGCGAACTACTAGTGTCTACAACAAAACGGACCTTACTTTAAAAATACCCCTCATACATATACATGGCAAACATTCAATGCCATAGACACACAACATATATAGACAGACACTCAGAGGCTATTTAACATTCCAGCTTCTGGCCACCAGGGGAGCTGTTGCTTCCTCATTCTTTGCATACTTCCTGGAGATTTTTATGGCCTCGTAAATCAGTTAAATTGGCCTCCCCACAAAGTGGTACCTAATTTTCCTACTTGACAGATGCAACTGTCTTTCGGGCTGCAAAGGTCGACAACAAGCTACACAGTTTTGATCAGGAGCTCACTCCGACCTGGGCTGGCTTTGAACTCATGACCTTTCGGTCAGTAGTGATCTTAATGCAGCTGACTGTCAGCCAGCTGCGCCACAGTCCCGGTCCTTCAAAAGTGGTAATGAGACAAAACACCCCGTCAGGGTTTCTGTAGTAGTTGAGATATTATCCTGACTGATGTTATTTTTTTGATAGGGATAGGAAACTGCAGGATATGTTTACAGCATTTCTGGGTCACTATTTGACTATTTGAGTGTTTGCAGGCATGGTGATGATTATAATAATCTATATCAATAAAAATGTAATGTTCGTTTGTGGGATTAACAGAACTCAAAAACCACTGGGGGAATTGACCCCAAATTTGGACACAAGACACCTAACAACCCAATGTATGTCCTTTACTCATTAAAAACAAAAAACACAGCAGAAGGGACTTAAAAAGCCCCCAAAACCTAAATGACGAAAAGCTAAATGACAATACAGAAAAAAGGAAGAAAGAGGGAGGGAAGGGGAGAAAAAAGAAAGAAAGAAAGAAAAGAAAGAGGGAGGAAAAGAAAGAAGAAGAAAGGGAGAAGGAAGCATGGAAGCAAAGAGAGAAGGAAGGAAAGAGGTAGAGAAGGAAGAGAGAAAGAGGGAGGGAAAGAAAAAGGGGGAAGGAAGGAGAGAAGGAAGAAAGAAGGAAGGAAAGAGGGAGCAAAGGAAGGGGGAAGATGTAGAGAAAGAGGGAGGGAAGGAAAGAGAAGGAAGAAAAGAGAGACAGCAGAAGAGAAAGAAAGGGGGGAAAGAAGGAAAGAGATAGAGAAGGAAGGAAGATGAGAAGGAAAGGGAAGGAGAAGGAAAGAGGGAGTGAAGGAAGGAGGAAAGAAGGAGAGAAAGAGGGAAGGTTGGCCACAGCAACGCGTGGCAGGTACAGCTAGTAATAAATATAATAATATAATAATAATAATAATAATAATAATAATAATAATGTATTGTCGAAGGCTTTCATCGCCGGAATCACTGGATTGTTGTAGGTTTTTTCAGGCTATATGGCCATGGTCTAGAGGCATTCTCCATGCCATGTTTTTGTGTCAATAATAATAATAATAATAATAATAATAATAATAATAATAATGACTCTGGCACAAGCCAGTCAAGGTGGTCCCAGTGGTGATTGGCACACCAGGTGCAGTGCCTAAAGACCTTGGCCTGCACTTAAAAACAATCGCCGCTGACAAAATTACCATCTGCCAGCTGCAGAAGGCCACCTTACTGGGATCTGCATGCATTATTCGCTGATATATCACACAGTCCTTGTCATTGTTATAGATATCTGTGTTTCTTTGATAAAAAAGCAACCCTATTAAAACAAAGAATTTTACTAAAAGACTATTCCTTAAGTAGAAAACAATTCACTAGATGTCTAGAATTATTTGGATATGTCATATAGACCCATTGATTCAACAGGACTTATATGCTGCTTACTTTTTAAAGCCCCTCATTAAATAAAATATATTTTTGTACAAATACCCTAGTGTCAAGTCTTGAAATACAAGTATGGATATTCCATTTCTTCCCGGATATTTGCTGATCTTATTTCTTTGAACTGTTCTTTGCTCTTTCCCTGTAGGAGAAGACAGAACCTTATTTCATTGGGATATTTTGCTTTGAAGCTGGCATTAAAATTGTGGCTTTGGGATTTGTTTTCCATAAGGGCTCCTACCTGCGCAATGGATGGAATGTAATGGATTTCATCGTCGTTCTGAGTGGGTAAGTCCTTAGTATTTTGAAGGGTAAAAGAGGGACTGGGATTCTCATGAGACTGAACATTGTGAGTGGAAAGAACTTCTCTGGATCCACTCTGTCATGTAGCACTCCTAACCTATCTATATTGATGGCAACGGAAATGAAAGGGAAGATATCTCTTATATGACCATCCTGGAATAATTCTTATTACCTACTAGCTTTACCCACCATGCGTTGCTGTGGCCAGCCTTCTCTCCTTCTTTCTCTGCTTCTTTCACTCCTTCCTTCATTCCGTTTTCTTCTTTCCTTTCTTCCTTCTCTACCTGTTTACTTCCTTCCTTAGCTGTTTGCTTTCATCCTTCCTTCTCCTTATTTCTTTCCTTCCCTGCGTCTTTCTCTCCTTCTTTCTCTTTTTCCTTTGCTGCGTCTTTCCTCCCTTCCCTTTTTTCTTTCCTTCTCTCCTCCTTCCTTCTGTACCTCTTTCCTTCCTCCTCCCTTTTTCTTTTCCTTCCTCTTTGTCTCCTTTCTTCCCTCTCTTTCTCTTTCCTTCCTTCCTTCGCTCTGTAGTTCCATACTTCCTTTTCTTTCTTTCTTTCTTTCTTTCTTTCTTTCTTTCTTTCTTTCTTTCTTTCTTTCTTTCCTTCCCTTCTCTTCTTCATTTGCTTTCTTTCCTCCCTTGCCTTTTCTTCTGTCCTTTCTTCCTTCCTTTCCTTCGTTCCTACACCTTCCCTTCCACTCCTTTCTTCTTCCTTCCTTCCTTTCTCCCTTGTTTCCCATGCTCCTACTCTCTCTTTCTTCTTTCTTTCCTACCTTTCTTCCCTCATATACTTTCCCAACTTCTCCTTCCTTCCTTTTTTCATACACCTTCCCTTCCCCTTCCCTCCTTTTGTTTATTTCCTACCTTTCTTCTCTGATATACCTGCCTTCCTTCCTTCCTTCCTTCCTTCCTACACCTTCCCTTCCCCTTCCCACTTTTCTTCTTTCTTTCCTTCTTTCCTTCCTTCCTTCCTATTTACACCCCTTCCCCTCATTTCCGTCCTTCCTTCCCTCACCCGCTTCCCTCCATCCCGTTCCTCATCGTCCCTAACGACGCCCTTTTGGATTTTATATATATAGATTTATTGGGGACTTTAAAGCTCCTGCTTCTACCTGAAACTGTATTATGTGGCTTGTGCAGAGGGGGCGTGGTGCGGCCATGTGCGCGCGCCGGGCGACTCACGCCAGGACTCCTCTGCGCATGCTCCGTTTGGTTGTGTAAATGTGAGTTTGTTGTTATGTTTTTTTGAGTTGTGATGAGTGTTCTGCATACCTTGTGGTTTGAGGTATGCGTACGCCAAGTTTGGTGATTTGTCGTCTGGGGGGTCCCTAACGACGCCCTTTTGGATTTTATATATATAGATTTATTGAAGACTTTAAAGCTCCTGCTGACTCACAACACCTGCTTCTACCTGAGACTGTATTATGTGTGCTTTTCTCAAGTGATGGTTTGTTTTGAAAACTGATGGTGAAGAATAGGTGTAAAAGTCTAAAACCTTCTGAAAGCACTTTTAGTTATTGGACAAGGCAAGGACATACGGTAGGCACAACATAGTTGTTTTTGCTGATGTTTTAGTGGAGAGTAGAATGATTACAATAGCAAGAGTGACAATTTATGCCCCCTGATGTAATTGCTTTTGTTGTGTTTTGCCGAAGACACCCACACATATCATTGTAGTCATCATGGAGGGCTTTGTTTGTTCAGTAATTGTGATTTTCCAGGATTTCTGAAAGCATGGAGATGAGCCTCCTGAGCATACAGCTGCTCTTGAGTGGCTCGGTTTACCAGTATAATGAATGTTCATATAGGTGGCTTATAATAATATAATATACTATAATAATAATAATAATAATAATAATAATAATAATAATAATAATAATAATAATAATAATGACGCTGGCACAAGCCAGTCAAGGTGGTCCCAGTGGTGATTGGCACACTAGATGCAGTGCCTAAAGACCTTGGCCTGCACTTAAAAACAATCGCCACTGACAAAATTACCATCTTCTCCATGGCTTTATTGCATGGAGAGTTTGGAAAAGGATGGAGGATAAATGAAAGTTGCTTGTGATTTTTTTTTTAAAAAATCAGAGCTTGGTTAAAGTTCCTGTTTGGGTTATAGGCAGTACAGGAGTTGCAAACATCTGACTTAGAACCTTATTGCACTTGGGGCTTTTGGTCCCATTCTCCTCTTCAGGGATGGAGTCTGCAAGGTAAGTTGTGTTTTGGGTAGCTACCCATATTTTTCTCCCTTTCCCCTCATCTGATGGTAGTGACCAGGAGAGCATTTGCACAGTTAAAACTTGTGCGCCAGCTGCGCCCGTACCTTGGGAAGTCTGACTTGGCCACGGTAGTCCACGCTCTGATTACATCCTGGATAGACTACTGCAATGCGCTCTACATGGGGTTGCCTTTGAAGACTGTTCGGAAGCTTCGATTGGTCCAACGGACTGCAGCCAGATTACTAACAGGAGCGGCGCTCAGGGAGCATACAACTCCTCTGCTGCGCCAGCTCCACTGGCTGCCAGTTTGCTACTGGGCACAATTCAAAGTGCTGGCTTTAGCCCAGAGGCGGCCCTAGGTAATTTTCAACGGTAAGAAAACAATATTTTGGTGTCGTCCCCGTCCCCCCCGCCCCCACCAATCACTGATATATATTTTTTGTTCGTCGTGGGAGTTCTGTGTGCCATATTTGATTCAATTCCATCATTGGTGGAGTTCAGAAAGCACTTTGATTGTAGGTGAACTATACATCCCAGTAACTACAACTCGCATATGTCAAGGTCTATTTTTCCCCTGGGCAAAATCAACTACACTGCAAATGCTTACTTTGCGTAATGGGTTGAGATGTCCCTGCTTTAGCCTATAAAGCCCTCAATGGTTCTGGCCCAACTTACCTGTCCGAATGCATCTCCCCTTATAAACCATCTAGGATGTTAAGATCATCTGGGGAGGCCCTGCTCTGAACTCCGTCTGCATCACAAATACGTTTGCCGGGGACGAGAGACAGGGCCTTCTCAGTGGTGGCCCCTCAGCTATGGAACGCCCTTCCTAGGGACATTAGATTGGCTCCTTCCCTTTTGATTTTCCAAAGAAAAGTCAAAACCTGGTTGTTTGAGCAGGTGTTTGAAAAGGCAGTGTAACAGACATTGGATTTTGGAACAATTGGATTATGAGTTTGGATGATGTTTTTATTCAGGAAATGAAATGGCTTGTGTTTTTTTTATTATTGTTATGGTCTTATTTTATTTATTTTTATTTTATTTTACAGCATTTATATTCCGCCCTTCTCACCCCGCAGGGGACTCAGGGTAGATTACAGTGTACACATATATGGCAAACATTCAATGCCAATTTTGACATACAACATATACAGACATACACAGAGGCTATTTAACTTTTTCTGGCCGCCAGGGGAGCTGTCGCTTTCATCGTCCATCTGCGACACTGATGAAGTACTTCCGCATTCCCCGCATGCTTTTTGCTGGAGTGCTTGTTGGAGTCTTTTTTTATGGCCTCATAAATTCGTTAATTTATCCTCCCCACACTTTAAGGTGGTACCTAATTTTCCTACTTGACAGATGCAACTGTCTTTCCGGTTGCAAAGGTCGACAACAGGCTACACAATTGGTTGGAAACCCACTCCAACCCTGGCTGGCTTCGAACTCATGACCTTTTGGTCAGAGTGATCTTAATGCAGATGACACTCAGCCAGCTGCGCCACAATCCCGATATGTTATTGCTTTTAAATGTTTTAAAGTTTTTATGATGTTGTTGGTATTGAATTGTTGCCTGGTGAACCGCCCCGAGTTGCCTGTGGGCTGAGAGGGGCAGTATACAACTGTAGCAAATAAATAAAAAAATAAAATAAAATAAAAAATGTGCGTTGCTGCCCTCTCCCCCATCTGATGGAGACACAAACAGGGCATCAACACCACTTATTTATTTATATATTTATTTATTTACAGCATTTATATTCCGCCCTTCTCACCCCGCAGGGGACTCAGGGCAGATTACAGTGTACACATATATGGCAAATATTCAATGCCAATTTTGACATACAGCATATACAGACATACACAGAAGCGATTTAACTTTTTCTGGCCACCAGGGGAGCTGTCGCTTTCATCGTCCATCTGCGACGCTGATGAAGTACTTCCGCATTCCCCGCATGCTTTTTTGCTGGAGTGCTTTGCTGGAGTCTTTGTCCCATTCCCTAGATGTGATGGGGGAAGGAGGGAGGGCACGTGGCGCACCATGAGGCACCACGCCTACCAAAAGCCCCAAGTGTGATAAGGTCCTAAATAGAGGTTAGTGTGAAGAGGTCCTTCGAAATGAATCATAGCTACAAAGGGAAGTGAGACAACAGAAAGTGAGAGGAAGTCTGTTCCTTGGAAGGGAAATTCACTCCTGGAAGACTTATCACTGGAAAAGGGTGTTGCCAGTGAAGCTTTATCACCTATCCTTGTCTCCACAACAAACCATTATTTTTCAAAATTCACTTATCACAGGGGCAGAAAGTGAGGTGAAATCTTCTGAACAGGAACACAGATATACATGTATTTTGAGCTGGAGTTACACTTAAAAAATCTACCTGTTCCAACTTACATGCAAATTCAACTTAAGAACAAACCTACAGAATTTATCTTGTTCATAACAAGATAGCCCATAGGGTCTCCCAGACAGCATTCAGGGAGTTGTAGTCCAAAAATATTTTTCCTCTTTCTAGAGGATTGTACCCAGAAGGTGTTGCTGGGAGACAACTGCTCGACCTCACAACCATTGTCTTGTGGGGTCCCGCAGGGTTCTATACTGTCCCCCATGTTGTTTAACATCTATATGAAGCCGCTGGGGGAGATCATCCGGAGTTTCGGGGTGAGGTGTTATCTGTGCGCAGATGATGTCCAACTCTGTCACTCCTTCCCACCTACTACTAAGGAGGCTGTTCAGGTCCTGAACCGGTGCTTGGCCGCTGTATCGGACTGGA